GCTTCTGTCAAAGCTCACAAAAATGCATTTTTTTTGTAATCCCCGGACTCCCATATTTTCCCGAAGTGCTCATATTTGGATGTCTGCTCATCCATATTCATCCTTCTTCCACCTGCAAGGCCCATAGCAGAGCTGCTCGGTCTCAGGATTGACATCTCCTGAGTCAGGCAGGACTGGCAGCAGTAGCTGTCTGCAAGGTCTACATCATTTTGAGAAGAGCCAGTGTTTGCTCCTCAAAGATTGAGAGGAGGGGTCCCTAGGGGAGGCAGTTGGACAGTGGTGATGAAACTCATCACAACTTTTCCTTTATGGCATACCTTCCCCCCACCCCCCCAGCTTCACTTACATCCTTCAGTAAAAAGGGTGCTCAGACCTCTAGAGGAGAGAAAATGAGATGAGTAGAAGTGTCCTCTGTGCCCTGTTGACTGCAAAGCCCCTCTGTGGGGGGTGTGTGTGTTTGGAGTGGGTCTGACACTGCTGAAAAATCAGGACAAGCCAAACCCTTGATTGCATTTTAAACACTTGTATAAAACAAGTTTTAAAACAAAGTTTCCATGAAACCTACTAACAATCCGTGGTAGTGTTGCTGTCCACCTCTCTCTGTGGCTCTGGGTGCTGTTGGTCATGGTATCTGAAGGTCTTTCCTCCTTGAAGCATGTTGCTTATGTCCTCTGTCCTGCATATACAGCAACGAGTGAGGCTTTTTTTTATGAACCCATGACTTTGCCAGGGTCCTTGTGGTGAAGGAATGCTGTCGGGCAGTTTGTGGCAACTGTAGGTGACTTGAAATAGTGTGGTGTGACTTGTGCCTTCAGCCTGGTGTCCCGTGTAGAGGAGGATGCGAGCAGGAGCTTTGTGTGTACCTGCAGGATCCTGGGCTGCCTTTTGCCTGCTCAAAGCTGCCTGTCAGTCAGAGTCTGTCATCTTCTTTTCATCTTGATTTATCAGCCGGCATAACTAGGTTTCAGAGTTTCATTTTTGGGCTTGCCTCCTTCCAGGGACAGGCAGATAAATCTGGCATGCAAATGCGTTTGCTCTCCGGTTCCAGGAGTGAGAGACTCTTCTGCCGCAGGGAGTGAGAGAAAACACAGCTGATGGGGCAGGGCTGCTCTTGTCTCCTCCGGGGCTGGAATTGCGCAGGGGAGGCTTCCAGTTTAGCCAGCACCACTGCTCTCAAGGGTCATGCATCTGCAGAACCCCAGTGCCAGGGCAGGAGCAGCACAGCTTGCCTTGTTGGAAGCAGTACCAGTTTAAATCTTAGTACTGGATCATCGCTCCTTGTAACTTTAATATGTTTAAATTTCTGAAAGAAGTATTTAAGGAAAAACAGAGGTTATGAATTCTAGCTGTTTAAGGCAAAAACTTCTATCCATCAACTAGGGAGTCAACAGGAATTCTGTTCCTTCAGTGCTCTCTGCCAGAAAAGCATGTGTCGGGGCAGAGGAGAGCCTGTGAGTCTTTGAGAGATGCTCTGAGGATGGGGAGTTCCCCTGAACTGGTCCTGTTAGCGCTGGTGTGGGAAGCAGGGCTTTGATCCAGTGGTGAGAGTGAGCTGAGGGATGGAAGTAGCTCACTCTTCACCCTGCTGAGCAGAGCAGGTAGAGATTTACTCTCTCGTGTATGGGGGAAGAGGTGCTAGACTTGTGCAGTTACCTCCAGTCCAGATCCAGGACCAGCTCAGGACCGGGTTGCAGAAGCTGGCTACCTCTCCTGAGCGAGAGGGAAAGGAACAGTCTCAGTGTATGTCCAGAGCTGCCTAACCTGGTTTGTCTTATTGCCCAGGGCACCTTCACTTCCTTGTAACCAGTGCAAGCCTGGGGAGTGCAGCCCATGTCACATCACCTGGAACACAGCTCTTGGCTCATCTTGCTGGAGCAGATATGGCTGCGAAGCATCTCCCCTCTGGGAGCACTGGGGGAAGCACAACAACCATACCTGAGTTCTCAGTGCCCCTCTCTTGCTGGCTTGAGTGAAGGCGATGGGGCAGAGAAGAGCCTGTGAGTCTTTGAGAGATGTTCTGAAGATGGGGAGTTCCCCTGAACTGGTCCTGTTAGCGCTGGTGCAGGAAGCAGGGCTTTGATCCAATGGTGAGAGTGAGTTGGGGATGGAAGTAGCTCACTCTTCACCCTGCTGAGCAGAGCAGGTAGAGATTTACTCTCTCGTGTATGGGGGAAGAGGTGCTAGACTTGTGCAGTTACTTTCAGTCCAGATCCAGGACCTGCTCAGGACCAGGTCGCAGAAGCTGGCTACCTCTCCTGAATGAGAGGGAAAGGAACAGTCTCAGTGTATGTCCAGAGCTGCCAAACCTGGTTTGTCTTATTGCCCAGGGCACCTTCTCTTCCTTGTAACCAGTGCAAGCCTGGGGAGTGCAGCCCATGTCACATCACCTGGAACACAGCTCTCGGCTCATCTTGCTGGAGCAGATATGGCTGGGAAGCATCTCCCCTCTGGGAGCACCGGGGGAAGCACAACAGCCATACCTGAGTTCTCAGTGCCCCTCTCTTGCTGGCTTGAGTGAAGGCGAGGGGAATTGCACACCCTCAGAGCAATGAGCTGTTGCTTTCCTTTCAGTCCAGATCCAGGACCTGCTCAGGACCAGGTCGCAGAAGCTGGCTACCTCTCCTGAATGAGAGGGAAAGGAACAGTCTCAGTGTATGTCCAGAGCTGCCAAACCTGGTTTGTCTTATTGCCCAGGGCACCTTCTCTTCCTTGTAACCAGTGCAAGCCTGGGGAGTGCAGCCCATGTCACATCACCTGGAACACAGCTCTCGGCTCATCTTGCTGGAGCAGATATGGCTGGGAAGCATCTCCCCTCTGGGAGCACCGGGGGAAGCACAACAGCCATACCTGAGTTCTCAGTGCCCCTCTCTTGCTGCCTTGAGTGAAGGCGAGGGGAATTGCACACCCTCAGAGCAATGAGCTGTTGCTTTTCATAGTCCCCCGTGACTGCTCTTGGGGGAGTAAATAGAGCCCAGCGCTCCCAAAGTGGTCCAGCCCTCGTGGTGCTCCAGAGCTGCCTAACCTGGTTTGTCTTATTGCCCAGGGCACCTTCACTTCCTTGTAACCAGTGCAAGCCTGGGGAGTGCAGCCCATGTCACATCACCTGGAACACAGCTCTCGGCTCATCTTGCTGGAGCAGATATGGCTGCGAAGCATCTCCCCTCTGGGAGCACTGGGGGAAGCACAACAACCATACCTGAGTTCTCAGTGCCCCTCTCTTGCTGGCTTGAGTGAAGGCGAGGGGAATTGCACACCCTCAGAGCAATGAGCTGTTGCTTTCCATACCCACCATGACTGCTCTCGGGGGCGTAAATAGAGCCCAACGCTCCCAAAGTGGTCCAGCCCTCGTGGTGCCATGGTAGGGTTGTCATCTCTCCAGTCCAGTGTTCATCAAAACTGGGAAACGGTGGAAAGTGAGACATTTCCTGAGGCAGCACGAGATGAAATACGGCGTGTGGGTCCGTAAGGGCTCGGCACGGAGCTGGTGTTTGCCATGGGGAAGAAAAGGAGGGTTGTTTTGAGCAGAGAAACCGGGATTTGGAGAGCGCTGGGAGCAAATGTTCACTGAGGACAAAAGAGGCAGTGTTTGCCAACTGGTCTGTAACTGTCCCTTCTAGTCCCATCCCTGCCAGGGTTCCCCCTCTCCAGCTGCCTTGTCTCGGGCAGAGCAGTACTGGGCACAGAACAAGCCCGTGTCTTTGTCACCCCCCCATGAGCCTGCCTGGCCCACAGCGCCGGTGGCCAGCCTTCTATGGACTTGGCTGCAGGACTGTGTGCTGCTCTGTTTAATTCCTCTGTGTTTATATTTATGACATTCAAAGTTGTCCATAGTAGTAGTCTCAGCATTTTGTTATGTTTTTCATTACCTGCTAACTCAGGGCTCTGCTCCGATGCCTCAGAACAGCGCAGGAGACAGCTCTGCACAAGCCACAGTGGCCCATCCATTGCCAGCACCAGCCTGTAAATCTTGCTGCTTGCTGCCCTGGGCAGGGCTTTTTTTCCCCTGTTCCTTGTTAACTCCAGCAGCTGATGATCATCTTTCCTAGGTTGATGTGATTTCTCTGACACCAGAATTAGTTTTCTGCTGGTTTTATGTGCCATGCTAGGAATAAAAGTCTAGCAGTAAGTGCTTCTGGCTCAAATTTCCACCGGCGGAGTAAATAAGGGCATTAGCCCAATCTCCTCAATTCATTTTTTTTTTTTTTTGTCCATAGCATGTCGCTTTTTGTGATAAGCTTTGTAAAATGTTGTTAGGTTTTTCTCTGACATAAGTGAAGGGTAGACGAGCAGACTTTGTGCCTAGAAGTGATGAATTTTAATAGCAGTCTTACAGTGCTGCTCTAGTCCCTTCCAGACTGGCTTCTCTACCCTGGGATTAACTACAGACAGCCTGTTCCTCCTGGCCGGGAAATGGCTGGCTAGTTCTTGCTCTATGGTGCTTGACAGATCTCGGGGCCGGGGAAGCTCAGCAGTAGCTGCTGCTCATCCCGTGCATCTGCCTGTGTACGTGGGTGAGGTCTTGGAAACGTTAGCCCAGTTGCAGATGTGTAGGAATATTACTGGGGTTGACTGCAGCCAGGTTTAATCTTCTCTTCCTTCAGAGGTCAAAGCTCAGACATCTCTAAGCCATTTCTAAATGGTGGTATTTAGCATGTGTGGTATTTAGGTGTGTGGCAGAAGCATCTGAGACCCTTCATGGTGATGTGCTCAGCCAGCCGTGTCAGTGTTATTCTTCTGAAGGGCCCAGAGCACTGTTTGCTGTCAGGGATGGGAGACTAGAGGGAGATGCCTACCAAAGGCAGTCCCAAGCCCATTCCCTTATCTGCTGACTAGCACTGAAGTCGTGATTAATTCCTGTGCACCTTGCCTTTGATGTACCACCTTCTCCAGAGATAAGGAGATGCTCCAGTGAAACAGCAGAGAGAGCTGGTGCCGATGGGAAGGAGGGGTGTGGGGAGTGCAGACCTGGGCTTGACCTGTAACCTTCTCTCTTTCTCCAGCTTTCATCCTCATGATTATTCTGGCCCTCATCCGCATCAGCAGAGGCCAAGCTGAAGGTCACCCATCCATGGCCCAGCTGTCAGGCATCCGCAATCTCTTTGGGGTGTGCGTCTACTCCTTCATGTGCCAGCACTCCCTGCCATCCCTCATCACCCCCATCTCCAAGAAGAAGCATGTCAACAAGCTCGTGCTGCTCGATTACGTCCTGATCCTGGCTTTCTACAGCCTCTTGTCCTTCACTGCCATTTACTGCTTCCGCAATGACACCCTCATGGACATGTACACGCTCAACTTCACCAACTGCGAGATCATCAACGTTGCCTTCATTCGCTACTTCCTGGGCCTCTTCCCCGTCTTCACCATCAGCACCAACTTCCCCATCATCGCAGTGACCCTGCGCAACAACTGGAAGACCCTTTTCCACAGAGAAGGGGGGACCTACCCTTGGGTGGTGGACAGGATTGTCTTTCCTGCCATCACGTTGATTCCCCCGGTGCTGGTGGCTTTCTGCACCCATGACCTGGAGTCCTTGGTGGGCATCACGGGAGCCTACGCTGGGAATGGGATCCAGTACCTCATCCCGGCTTTCCTGGCGTACTGCAGTCGGAAGGACACTCAGCTGGTCTTCGGCAGCGGGACGGTTAACAAGCACCTCTCCCCTTTCCGACACACCTTCTGGATTGTGTTCGTGCTCATATGGGGCTTCTCTTGCTTTGTCTTTGTGACTGCAAACATTGTCCTGAGCGAGTCAAAACTCTGATGCGAGGGTGGCGGCAACGCTCCCTCCTGGGCTCCAGAGACTTGGGCATTTCAACTCCCCCTTTGTGGAGGGGGGGAAGAGGCAGCATGAAGGGAATTTTTCCAGGCCATGGGTTTAGTGGCATGGGATAGACCTGGAAATGGACTTGCTTCACTCTGTTTTGGGTGTGGATGGAGTGGTCTCAGACCCGCCGTACGCAGCCACGGGGCTGAGCCCTTGGCAGTCTGTGTGATTAACCAGTGTCCAGCCATTTCTGCCTTCAGCTCTGTTGGAGCATCACTCTCTCTGTCCCTGCAGGGGCTCTCCGTGCTGCGGGTCTCAGCACACAGGAGAGCAGATGGCCTTGGCTGCTCACCCCACTGAGCGGCTAAATGTCCCAGGCAGGGACATGCTATCCAAAATCCAGGGGGAGTTTGTGGGAATTCAGTCTTTTCTTTCAGCTGAGACCCCTCCCAGCCAACCTCCTGTACCAGATGAGGGAAGAAGTTGGGGTGGGAACAGCCCTAATCGAGACAAAAATAACTTTTGTGTTCTGTTACACTTTTTTTCTAGAGGCATTAACCAGTTTTGTGCACCTTGGATTGCTGGGAGCTGGGATCTTTTGCTTAGAGCTGGATTTCTCCAGTCCAGGAGTTTACATTCACGCTTCTCACCCTGTTCCCCCAGCCACCCGGAGCCATGTCCCTACGGACACAGGGAAGGAAACCCCAGCCTTGTGTCCCTTGCTCCTGCACGCAGCTGGCAGAGCCCTGCTCCCTCTTGCACCTTTGCCCGGTGTGGCCAGCCAGACCCTGACTCCGGTGGCCAGGACTGGTGTGTGCTGGGGAAGTGCTAATTACCCAGTCCTGACACGCGTGAGGCCTGGGAGAGCTCTGGCTGTGCAGGCTGATGGGTTTCCAGCCTCCTGCGCTGGGTAATTAGCCTTGAAACAAGGTGGGTGTTAACTCCAGGGAATGGGCTGGTGCCAGGAGGAGGTGGAGGTGCCCTGGCTCAGCCCTGCCCGCAGGAGCAGAGCTCCCAGGTGCTACAGGAGAGCAAATACTGAGACCCTGCCGAATTCCCCCCTCTTCTCTTCCCCTACAGAAGGTGGGCTCTGGGCTGGTCCAGTGGAGCTTATCTGAGAGTTGGGCTGCCTCTCACCTTGGGCAGCCAGTGCTGAGGGTGACTCCCCACTTCTGGTGGCCGCTGTAATGTCACGCAGAGACCAACAGCACCGGGTCCTGTGCTCTGAGGCCCCTGGGCAAAGATCCTACAGGTTTTTTCTAACAAAAGGAAGAACTTTTAAAAGTTCTAACCTGAACTATTTAACCCTCTCTTATTTAAGCAGGTTCAAAGCCAGGTGCATGTCACTTAACATTAGATCCTCTTGCCCTCTGCACTTGCTGCAGGATTAAGTGTCACCGCTCGCTAAAGCAAGCTTTGAACTGCAGCTCTTTTTAATCAAGCTCTGTGTTCAAGTAGGACTTTTTCGTTTCCATATGACCTGAAGTGTTCCTCCTGGGGGAATATGCAAGTACCTGGAGCTGTATAAAAACACTTCATGGCTTTTAAAGTAAAACCCTGCACCTCTCGAGCCTGAGCACCGCCACTGTGTCCTTGCTGAGCTGCTTGGAGAGGATCTGGGAGGGGGGGCTGTTTAGGATGAGACAAACAGGCGTTGGCAGCCCTTGTTGGTGAGTTTTAAACAAACCCAAGTGCTCCAGGGAAGCTGATTGTGGCATCTTCAGTGCCAAATGAGCAAGTGATCTTACAGGTGGCTGGTGCTGGTGTCTCATTTAAGAAGAGGGACGGGGGCTGTGTAGGTTGGGGGGCACAGGGATGGGGCAGTTAGCTGGGAGCCACCTGCGAGGCAGCTGGGAGCCGGGCAGAGCCGGAGGCAGGAATTTAATGCTGATGAAATGAGCCTTTGGGAAGCTGGAGAGGCCACGGGGGCTGTTCCTCTGCACAAGTGCGCAGGTGTGGGTTTATGGGGGGGGCTGAGCCCTTTCCTATCACGCTGCCTGCCCTTTACAAGGCACTTGGCTCAGCCTCCATCCCTTCAAGTGCCCATTTCCATCTCTTGCCTTCACGTTTCATTTGCCAGCCAGAGAATGGGGCCGTTCTCTTTTATTTCATCTCCTCTCATCCTCCCTTTTTCCCCCCTTGGTCTCCCTCCCTCCCTGCCCCTGTTTCATACAGGGCAGCCTCCCCCCTGCCTTGCCCTGGGGTGGGAGGGAGGGAGCCCACTCTGGCACCCCCTCTCCTGCATCTCTTACATTTAAAGATGTGCCTTCTCATCCCTGGCCTGGGTGGCCACCTCTCCTCCTCAGCATGGCATGGCAGTGACTTCTAAGGGGCCTTAGCTCTGAGAGCTGCTTGGAACCAGGCTCTGGATGCAGTGGTGCAGTGAGGGCTCCCATCCTGACCCCAGCCTCTGCCATGGTACCTTACCGAGAAGGACTCTGGCCCCCAGGGAGCATCAGTGCTTTCCTAAATAAATAACCACACATTCCCAGGCACCCGCTGTCCTTGCACAGCAGCAAAACAAATCTATCCAAGGAATTGGGGTGATTAACGGAAAGAAGCTCTACAGCGGAGAGAACATTTTTCATATAAAACATGACATAGCAATGCCTTAAAAATTACTGGAGAAAGGGGGAAGGGGACGGCTCGGCGGAGCCAGCGCTGCCTGAGGGTGGGCTGGGGGGAGGCTGGGTGACCCCAGCACGGTGTGGGGCAGGAGCTCTCTCCTCTCACCCATCACCAATGAATCGATTTTTATTTGACCGTTTATTTATCAGCACTAACAACTCATTACTACCGATTCTCACATGATGCTTGTCCTGTCTGTAATTAGTTTTCAAAAAATGGGATTAAAAAACAATAAAATGCACATTATACATCTGGTTCAGTCTGGCTTCTTTTTTTACCCCCTTCCTCCTCCCCTGCGTGCGCTGAGCAGCTATTCCTTGGGGGGGGGGGGGG